GTAGGGGCTGTAGACAAGGTTGTCCCCTATCCCCCCTTCTATTTTTAATCGCAATTTAACCATTTGCTATTGCTCTGAGAGAGCACACAATGATTACAGGCATACATGTGAGAGGGTTTGACCATCGAATAGCTCTTTACGCTGATGACGTGATTCTCTTCCTTAGAAATCTGGAGAATTCTATAGCGGGCCTTATGGATCTGATTAAAGGGTTTAACAATATATAGGGTTACAAAGAGACTGGAAGGAACCTTGGTGTTATATTTGATCAGGATTTATCTTTTAACGCCCACATAAAATCAATCTCAAGGACCACCTTCTTTCATCTCCGCATCATTGCCAAAATTAGGCATATCTTGCCTCAAAACGATGCAGAGAAACTAGTCCATGCATTTGTTACTTCTAGGCTGGATTATTGTAACTCTTTATTATCAGGGTGTACCAAGAAGTCAGTTAAGTTGCTTCAGCTGATTCAAAATGCTGCAGCACATGTACTAACCAGAGTTAGGAAAAGGGACCACATTACTCCTGTTCTGGCTGCCTTACACTGGCTCCCTATAGAACACAGGATATCATTTTAAACTATTCTCGCCTACAAAGCCCTTAATGGGCAGGCACCATCTTACCTTAAATAACTCATTATACCCTACTGTCCTACTAGGGCATTGCGTTCCAAGAATGCAGGGTTGTTGGTTGTTCCTAGAGTCTCTAAAAGTACAATGGGAGCCAGAGCCTTTTCTTATCAAGCTCCACATTTGTGGAATCAGCTTCCAGTTTGTGTTCGGGCGGCAGACACCCTATCCGTTTTTAAGAGTGCGCTTAAGACCTTTCTTTTTGATAAAGCTTATAGTTAGGGCTGATTAGATTCAGCCCCTAGTTTTGCTGATATAGGCTTAGTTTGTAGGGAGACATCTTACTTCTCTCTGTCTATACCTGTGTACTCTCATGTTCCGATTAACCCAGCTTCCCCAAATTTCTTTCTTTTTGGTGTCTATATACGCCGGGATCCGGAGTCATGGATGATCCTGTTACTGCGCTCCTGTGTCCTGCATCGCGAGCCCTGGATCTTGAGTCGTGGCTGTGGTCCTGGATCATAAGTCCTGGATGGATATCCTCGTGGATTCATCTTCCTATTATACACACATGCATTTCCAAACATTTGGACTACCTATGTTGCAAATGCATTATCTTTTCAATTTACACACGGCATCTATTGCACGTCTGTCCGTCCTGGGAGAGGGATCCCTCCTCTGTTGCTCTCCCTGAGGTTTCTCCCATTTTTCCCTTTAAACTGTGGGTTTTCTCTGGAAGTTTTTCCTTGTACGATGTGAGGGTCTAAGGCAGTGGTTCTCAAAGTGGGGGGCGCGCCCCCCCCAGGGGGGCGCAGAGGCATGCCAGGGGGGGCGCGAGAGACCAGGAGGAAAAATGGCTATTAAAAAAAAAAAATTCATAAATTGAAAAATTATTGATTTGAAAATAATATGATGCAGTACAGTACTATTACGTCTAGGGTCTGGGTCTCTGTGTTTCATTAAAGCTTGGCACTGTGTGTGTGTGCGCGAGAGAGAGAGCGGAGATCGTTGTTGTTAGCTTCTTGTGCTAGGGAGCTACGCTAACGCGTATAAGGAGTTTTTTCAACAACAAAGTGGAGGAGAGTCCTCTCCTGTCAGACAGAGAGATTCAGTGAGCTAAAGGACTCTCTCAGTGTTATCTCAGTGGGTGTCAAACGTTTTGGTCACCATTAATGTAAACAATTATAAGTTTACTGCTTAAGTTTAAAAGGGTAATTTGTAAAATATCCATAAAGAAATAGTAAATCTGTTTACAGTTCTGTTTCATATGGGTGTTGAGAGATATATCTATAGATCTCTTCATTTTGCTCTCAAAGTGCACCATATTGATGCTTTTAACTTCAATATTTAAAAATAAATCTTCCCGGGGGACCCCCTATGTGAGGTCCACACACCACCTATAAAAGTAGCACTTTACCCCTGCTTACACCTATATGCCTCAAGCCTTCATTGTAACTGTCACACTGTGTATTTGCGTGGGGAGTGTTGCAGTAGAACATTCCACTGTAGCGCCTGGTACATTAATGGGAAACCCTAAATGTTTGAGCACCATCTATGAAACGTCAAGCTACCCCACAGCACCCCAAAATAAATATCTGGCGCCGCCACTGAGCCTGACTTGTGTTGGGGGGGCCCGACTTTTTTTTTTCTCCAAAGGGGGGGCCTGACAGAAAAAGTTTGAGAACCACTGGTCTAAGGACAGAGGGTGTCGTATTGCCATACTGATATTCTGTACAAACTGTGAAGTCCACCGAGACAAATGTAACATTTGTGATATTGGGCTATATAAATAAACATTGATTGATTGATACAGCGTTATGAACAAGTTTGTATAGATATCTGTTATTACAAGCAAAAAGAGTGATTGCCTTAACATGGAAAAAGTTGGGCAAACCTAGTATTGCACATTGGTTTAGGGAACTTTCTCTATGTCTGCCTCTAGAAAAAATCACTTACATTCTCAAAGACAAACAAGAACTGTTCCAGAAGGTCTGGGGACGTTTTATACAGCATGCCAAGAATAACGACCTATCTCAATTTCTGAACAAACCTGGGGCAGTTTAAATTAGTGTTGTTATTTTTCTTTAATGTAATGTAGTTGTCCTGTGTATATATGTGATTTTTTTTGCATGCTGAAAATCAATAAACATATTGATTAAAAAAAAACATATATATACACACACTATAAAAAATAGTTGTTTATCAATCGACTTGAAAAGTGTTAAAAGGTGCTATATAAATAAACTTGCCTTGCCGGAATGACTTCATATGACATACCAAGGTTGTGTGATGTGTACAAATACAAATTCAGCATTATAACTCTTTTTCAACCAACTATTTATTATAAATATGTTTTCTTCAACCAACTATTAATAAAAATATAAGAAACTGGAAAATCTTACTATTTACAATATCAGAACTTGTTCAACCAACTACTCATTATAAATGAAAAGACAGGGGAGCTGTGGCAGGGTCTTTGTCTGTCTTCCAAGACAGTGGGTCTGGCTGCTGTGCAGGTGGGGGTGATGATGCAGGGCTGCTGGTGGCTGTGTTGGGGTTACGTGTGCTCTACGAGACCTCTTTGCTGGCCGGGTTGATGGTGGTGGCTGTGTGGGGGGTACGTGGGTTCGAAGAGACCTCCTTGCTGGCTGGGTTGATGGTGATGGATGTGGTGGAGCCTTTGTGCCGTGTGTATCTTGACCTGGTGGCAGCCACAGATGGAGGTGGAGGCAGCTGTAGTGATGCTGGTCCTCTGGTCCTTGGTGGTGATGGCTCTGGTGAAGGCCCTTGAGCCACGGTGTATCTTGACCTGGGGGCAGGCACAGGTGGATGTTCTGGCTGCTGGATAAACGCAGCCTGTGGGCCACTAGGCCCAGGCAGCTGTGAAACCTCTCTGTAAAACAAATTAAAATGTAGGACAATAATTACTACTAAGTGGCAGGTTGCTTAAGCACAAATAACAATGCACAACTAAAAACAAAGTTTGGGAGGTGGGGCAGGAGTCTCTCTCTCACACACACACACACACACACACACAGGTATTTCCAGTTACTTTACATTCAGTATAAAATCAGACACACATAAATAAATCTATAACAAAGTCCCCCCTGTAAAAAACAGTATGATAAAATACATGTCTATAGCCACTGTAAATGTCTCCGTTGTGGGACGAATAAAGGATAATTTTTTCGTCTACACATGTAACCTCACTTTTACACATCAAAATAACTTTTACACATAAAAAACGTTTACACAGAGTAAAAGTTTACTATTTGAGAGTCTATTTTGTGAAAGTAGCTACACTATTGCTGTAATATTGACACTTACCCATGTCCAAATGGATCCTTGTTGTCCCTGTATTCTTCTTCTTCAGAAGAGTCGATGGCTTCTGGTTCCGATGCTCCATTTTCACTACTGCTAGCGAAAATAATCTCTAGCGTGTCGGTAACTTATGTTTTTTTTTGCCATTTCTCAGTCTCTCTCTTGTTTTCTCACATACGTTAACTGATGAAAGACACGTGGTTTATGTTTTTTTCTTGGTTGGTAGGTCCTTAGTGATTTTCTTGAGTGTCCATTTGTCATTTCACACCAACATAGCTGCAGCTGCCCCGGCCGAGATTTATTTGAACGACATACGATACAACCCAATCCCACACAGGGTAACGCAAAGTCAAGCTGCTTTGAGCGGCCTTATTGGCTGCTGTGAGTCGGGTAAAGTCTCACAATAGGTACCGCTGGAAAGCTACAGTTCCAGCGATTCGGTGGTTATCTGCATGACATTTGTACTCCTTATAATCAAAAAGATCTGATTAAATATGTAGAATATGCGCACTTCGACACAGCGCTGAGAGCGTAGACTCCAGAGGAAAACCATCATACTCTTACTTTGAAACCTTGAAATGTGGAAATGTCATCATCAGCAGGCCATTACGTGGTTTCCGAGTGACACGATCAAATTTCGGTCGAGACCGGCAGAAAGTTTGTCTCAAAACTCAGTGTGTAAAAAGTCGATCCACAAGCAGAGATTTCAGATCCACAAGCAGAGATTTCAGATCCACAAGCTCATTTTTTATTCACAAATGCCTGATCGAAAGTTGTCAATGTTAAAGAGATATTCACAAATTTATTTTGTTTATTTGTAATTAATTATAGTATTCACAGATTTTTTATTTTATTTGTGAAAATATTTTGCCTATTTGCAGATCCGTTTTACATTTGCAAATGTATTTGTGAGTTTTGCAAATCTTTTAAATGCATTTGTGGATGGTTTACATTTACAAAATCACATATTTACACACAATATTATTTTTATGTTCACACAAATCTAACCCCATAGTACAGTAATGTTTTAACCTATATCGTGCATTAATATTGTATTTTCTAAACGGGTTGGAACTATTGGAATATATTGTGATGAAGTGCACTGACCTGAGCTCCAGGGGTCTTTTTGTTCTCCTCCATGCTGCTCTCAGTGCTCCTTCTCCGGCTGTGTCTCTGAAATAATAAACACAACTACAGCTGACACAAAACAAGACAACTCAATACAACCGACAGACACAACAAAACTAATCTACAGCTACGTCTTAGGTTAATAGCAGAGGTGAGAAGTAACTAAGTAAATTTACTAGGGTTGAGAACCGAAACTCGGTTCCAGGTGAGAACCGATAAGAAAATGCTGGGTACCGGGTACCCATACAAAATACACAATTTTGGTTCTGCTTAACGGTTCCTAAACGCGGTAGACCCTGTATTCCACCGGGTCCGTCTGCGCTGCGGCGACCCGGTGGAATACAGGGGCGGACTGGCCATCTGTGTGTTCTGGAGAATCACGTCTACGCTGCGGCCGGCACCGCCCTTAACTTTATTTAAACGGCATCATGTAAGTTGCGCTGACAGGGGACAGAGGTCCACAGTTGCCCCGCAGCGAGGCTCCCCCCGCCCCCTCCCGTGGACAGTTCACGAGCTCAGTCACTTCATAACACCAAAGATGGATCTCGTAAACGCTCTAAAGTGTGGCTACACTACACTAAAAAAGAAAAAGACAAGGCACAGTGTAATGCTTGTGGCAAGTTAATAGCTTGCCACAGGCATAGCTCAGTTGAAATAAAGCACAGCTATTGTGTAATACATTTGTATTGCATGTCTTTTTTTTTATTTGTAAAAATGTCATCTAAAGCTTAAAAGAATAAAGATATTTTTGTTCTCTAAACGTTTGACCTCTTTCTTTCATAATTTTGGAATCGAAACGGGGAATCGATAAGAACTAGAATCGATAAGCAGAATCAGAATCGATATATTTCAGACGATACCCATCCCTAACATTTACTCAAGTACTGTACTTAAGTACTATTTAGAGGTACTTGTACTTTACTATTGAAAAGGAATCTAACAACCAACGTTGATATCTAGGTTGTCTCCGATACCGAGCTCCGATGCTGATAAGGCTCCGGAAAACGGCCGTCCTACCTTTAGGACTAACCCCAGAATCTAAACGCAAAATCACCGTAATCTGCTTGGGGGGGCAGCTAACAGCGTAGCCTCTGACACCAGCTGCTCGTCGTATCACTTATTTCAGGCACTAAAGTGGTGGATGTCCAACCGCCAGGATAGCAAAACGGAGTGTGTAGTGCAGTAGGTGTTGGTGGGCTGGTAGAACCCAAGAGCAGTATCTAAACTGTCCCTGGAGGAGAAACCCAGTGTTGTTGGGAGACTCCCTGGTAATTAGGGCAGCTTCAGGACCCACAATCCCTAACCCCCTCTTTTAACCAGTTATGCCAATTAAAACAATGCAAATGTAATATCAAACATAGCCAGAGTCAAACACCAATATCACAGCAGTGATATTACCACATCAGCAGAGCACATGTCATATTTCAGCATCAATCAAAACCACATCAACCACAGTAACCAATATGAAACTACAGTTTAACCTTAGCAGGGTTTCTATTTCCCTTAAACAATTTCAAGTCCAAATTATCAACTACTGTCAGCCTTTTCCAAGGAAGGGTATTCTTACCTTACTCTAAGACCAAGCAGATACCTTCAGAGACCACTAGAGAGAACAGGAATTGGGTCGAAATGTACAAACCGGTTTTATAAGGTTTTACAAGATACAAAAAATAACAAAAGAAAGATACAAAAGTTTTACAAGGACACCCGTTACAAAAGCAACAGGTTCCCAAGTGAGCCCCCTAGAGCCGTCTAAAAGAGCCAAAGACCCAAAATCAAGCCTAAAAAAGTCCCCCCAAGCTCTCTCGTTTCTCTTCACTCATCTTTTATAGCCTCTTCCCTCCTCCCTCTCTGCATCAGGTGGTTTCCCCTGTTCTATCTTTGAGTGAGAAGGAGGTCACATATGTTCAATTCTTACTTAATGAATCAATACAAAATGTAAAGTTAAAATTAAACAAATGAAGACTATAGTAATGATATGCACTTTTAACAAAAGGGAATATGAGATTTGTATGAAAGCAAAACACATTTTCAATGTCACTTAGGATTGAGATTTCTTTAAACTTCAATTTAAAATTTGCAAATGTAATCTATTAACTGAAACAAACTTAACAAAACTGTCTCTATTGTCTCTAAGATGTGTTGCTCCTGGATGTTGGACCTAAAATCATCAAGTCTGTACACAGCTCACTCATCCTGTGTGCATTGTTGTCCTCAATCGTTGTAACCGTTGTCAAGGTGTCAAAACAAACAACGCCTTCTTAGAATTGTGGTTGGAACTTTTAAGCTTTAGGCCCCGGCCACACGAGGACGAAAACGGCTAAACGCATAGGATTAACGCAAACGCAAAAAAGCTTCCGTCCACACGCAATATTCACCGGATAGTGTCTGTCCACACGAGACAGATCCGTTTAGCTCCAACCGCTGGAGAAGCCTGCAGTACATATGCAGGAGCTTGTACGTGGCGCTGTAACTTCCTCCACAAAAGCAGCGAAGAAGCATGGTTGTCATGGTTGCCCTTCTGTTTATTCTCCGCGGTGGGGGCCGAGGGAACCGGGCAGAGTTTTTCGCCAGTCAACGTGTATTAAAGTTTAAATATTCCAGACAAAATTATAAAAGTGCCGGTCAAAGGTCTTCTTTGTTATTTATTGAGCTTTAAAACAAATGAATAACGAATCTATATAATATAATAATAAAATACACGGAGCCTCTCTTTTTCCTCCCTCTCTTCTGACAGCGTCAGTGTCTGTCTCATGCAGCAGCTGATCCAGTAATGAGTGACCCGGCCGACAGTAAACATAATAAACATATTTCTAACTAGTTTAGGTAGTTTGAGAGGTAATTAAAATAGCTAAAGGTGATGATCTTACTTGAAGTGTGTGTTTTGCTCAGTTCACTGCTGCATCACAGCAGGAGGAGCTGCAGGTGAGCAGAGCTGCGTGTCTCCGTCCTGTCAGATTAGACTTCACTCGAGTTTAGGTCCATATCGAGAGAAAGGTAAATAATCTGAATTCAGTGTGCAGTTTACTTTGACGCGGGGGTGAGCAGCAGAGGTGGGGAGAGGCGGGGCTATTGCCTCATCATTATCAGAAAATGATCGTATAGGGCGTACACACGGAGCCGTTTGACCCCCCAGAGCGTTGCGTATGCCGTTCTATCCACCTTGGGACCTGTCTGATAAGACATTATCGAGACTTATTACATGGCTTAGTTGAATACTCGATTCTGATTGGTCAATTCAGAACACGTGACACGTTGTTAATCCAGAACAGACAGACCGCTGTCAAGGATTTATTGACCGTTGTTAAGGACGCTCACATCTGCACAAACAAGTCCGTTCGATTTAACTGGCCGAAAAGCAAACTGCATGCAGATCAGATCTAAATCGGGCTCCTGATCAGCCTGTCGGTGTTCTTTTCCCCAAAATGACGGTAAAAGTGAGGTCTGTCACGGCCCCTTGAACAGCAGGTCTGTCAACACTATTACCATTTAATGCTACTTTGTACTTCTACTCCACTACAATTCAGAGGTAAATTGTGTACTTTGAATCCACTACATGTATTGAATACCTTTAGTTACTTCACAGATTTGGATCAATGATGTGAAACATAATCAACTCTTAAATCAAACTTTAGTTCCACCTGGAGTAAATTCTCACACACACACACACACACACACACACACACACACACACACACACACACACACACACACACACACACACACACACACACACACACACACCACACACACACACACACACCCACACACACACACACACACACACACACACACACACACACACACACACACACACACACACACACACACACACACACACACACACACACACACACACACACACACACACACACACACACACACACACACACACATTTCCTGGAGACTTATCCTAACCTTAACCATAACCAACACATGCCTAACCCATACCCTAATCCTAACCAAGTCTTCACCCTAAAATTAATGATTCCCCTCATGGGGACCTCCAATGTGTCCCCACACGTGACTGTGTAAACAGATTTAGGTCCCCACACTTATAGTAATGCTAGGCCACACACACGTCCACACTCTGAAGGATGTTACCTCTCTCTCGCTTTCCTCTTCGTCCTGGTTATTCAGTCTTTCTTCTCCTTGATAAAACACTGCCGTTAAACACACTAATCTCCCTTGAATGCCTTTACTTATGTTTACCGATTAGCAACGTGGTATAAAAAGCTACGAACAAAGAACGGGAAGCAACAAAAACACGGTTTAACGGATAAAAGCACGGATAAATCACCCTCCAAGGATAAACTAAGTATGTGTATGTGTTTTAAAAGTCTCTTAAACACATTACATAAGGTATAAAATCTGCGTCAACGTCTGTTAGCAACCTCTAGCTGCTGAGGACCGGAAGCTAGAAACGAACCACCGCAATGCATCATGGGATTTTAGTTTTTCTTTTAAACTCACTTTCTCTCTTTGGTGAAAAACGGTATTAAAATAAATAATAATAATAATAATAATAATAATAATAATAATAATAATAATAGTAATAATAATATATATATATACATATGGGACTGGTATGGCGGATTTTAAACGTTGGGAAAAATGTTTTTGTTTGTGATCATACATTTGTTTTCCATTATATAGGTTTTGATATAATTATTGATCATTAAAGTGTTATCAAAGCTGGTAAGGGTGCAGCTAGTTTGAATGACTTTGTATAGGGTAGGACACAAAAGTGTTACCTCCGCCCGACGCCACGCCAAATCTGCACCGAACCGCTGAGATGAACTCGTCTCACTGATGAAGACAACCACTCTCTCTGAGCGAGAACAAAGAGTAGGAGAGAACATTTTTGTATGCAAATCAACCCTCCACCTTCACCGACGCTGGGAAAAATACGCCGACAACAAAGGCAGCGGCTGACAGGACTGCAGGAGAAGCAGCAGCGAAATGCTCGTTAGCTTAAATCCTGCAGGGAACCCCACCTCAACACCTACACAGACACATAAATAACATATAGGAATCACAATGATATCAATTTACTGTATCATCATCATCGAGTTCAAGGAATACATTGTTAATGAAATATGTCTTTATGTTATGTTATGTAGTGTCTCTACTTTAAAGAGTCCTCTCCTGCTGAGTTTCAGGTGTGTATCAGTATGTAGTGTCTCTACTTTAAAGAGTCCACTACTGCTGATGTTCAGGTGTATAATGAATACTGATTCTTAAATCATGAGCTGCAGCCCTACCCTGTAAAGGGGCCTATACTACGAAGCTGGTTCAACCTAACCTGGATATGTTTGAGTTAGCCCGTTGGCCTAATCCAAAACATACGCGCTCTCGCTAAACTGTACTACGACGCTGGTTATCAAGTGGAACGCTCAAGACAGCCGTTTCCTATCTAGTTAGGTGCGCGTTCACATGAAAGCAGGGCCGTATCCAGGATTTCCTAAATACCGAGGTCCAAACATGTTAGGGGGGTTCGGGGGATACCCCCCGAGATTTTTGGGATTTTCATGATCTAGTTAGGTGCTTTTTAAGTCCTGTGGGGGGTCACACATTGGATAATATATTGATTTCAAACTATGTCAGTGGGCTGACACATTAATTATTTTTGGAAGTGTAATGCATGAGAATCAGTTGATTGTTACTATTAATGATCTGGACATGCAGAAGAGGCTAATATGATCACAAAACATTGTCAACATTCATTTTCCATGTCTCTCTCCTTTCCATGACCTGCAGCCTCTCTTCCATCTCCTTTAGTCTCTCTGTCTTCTTCCTGTTCATTACTCTCTCTGTCCTCTACTCTTTCTCTTTGTTCAATCTCTCCCTCGTTGTTTACTTTTTGCTCCTCCTCACTTGTCGCTCCTGCCAGTGAATTAAAAGCAATTCAGCAATTTAGTTAACTTCACTTGTTTGTTTGCACTTTTTGTTTTATTTAAATCTGTTTTGTTTGATTCTCAAAAGAGAACAAAGATGTAAGCAAATTGTGTTTTATAAAATTGTATGTTATGACATAACTGCACTCTTTTTTTTTACAATTATGCCTATTGTAAATGAAGACTATTGTTATAGATAGATAGATAGATAGATAGATAGATAGATAGATAGATAGATAGATAGATAGATAGATAGATAGATAGATAGATAGATAGATAGATAGATAGATAGATAGATAGATAGATAGATAGATAGATAGATAGATAGATAGATAGATAGATAGATGGATGGATGGATGGATGGATAGATGGAGTTATTAAGCCTACATTATTTTTGTGAGACTGTCCCTGCAGTTCCTCCCTGATTTCCATCACTTTCTCTCTCTCTCTTTCTCTCTCTCTGTCCTGTCTCTTCCTTACCAAAGCTGAGCTTCGACTGACTTAATCTTTTCATTATATCTGAGTCAGTGTAAAAAGAAAACAATACAATGTTATATCTTCAATGTTTTACTCAAATTGAAATGAAAGAAAAGCATTACAACGTTTGTTAAAAGGTAATCCTTCTGACATTGGATGAATGTAATTAACTTTAGCTCTCTAACTAGTTTATTCACGCAATTTAAATCAAAGTATAGCCTAAAGCTGCAATATCAGTTAGTGTGCATGTTGTCGGACGTCCACTGACTAACGTAGAGTGTTCACACAGGATCTGCTGGTCATATGATGTCCTGATGAACAGAAACACAAGCAGCTCTCTGGACTCAGATCTCTAGATACCTCATCACTCCTTCGCTGCTCCGGTTCAAGTCCGGACTGCGGTGGTTTGTTGATACCGGTTGATACATGTCGTCTTCTTCTGTTTGCTTTAATCGAGGCTACGTAGTTATGCAGCGCCCCCATCGTCAGTAAATGGAAGTACTACAAAGAATCCCGTTTAGTGCAATTATTTCACAAGTTTTGTTATACACAGCTCGGCAAATATTACCGAGGTCCGGACCTCGGTGACCTCAATGGTGGATACGGCCATGCATGAAAGGGGTGGTATTTGGAGCATTCGACTAATCACAAACATGGAGAAGCATACTGACAGCGCAGCGTCATACTTCCTGAATGAAAAGTAAACTATAATATTAGACTTATGAAGAAGTTAAACTTTAAACATCCATGACTTAAACACTTTATCCAGGATAAAAGCCACAGAGCTGCACCTGCAAGGTGAATACAGTTGGTAAAAGAAAAAGTGTTTGAATGCGTACATTAACAGGTTTATGATATCACTAAGACACGAGTGGATCTGACTTTGATTACATTTGACTCGAGTGTTTCGTCAACTTAATGTGTTGCTTAAAATAATACTTCTGCATACAGTATGTGACACTGTGAGTGTTGCACGGCCAGATACGGCTCAGCTGACTCAGATAAGGAGATATATGAAACCCGGTATCACGGCAAGACGTGAACATGTGACGATTTACCATGCTGGGAGACGTGAACATGTCACGGTTTCGTCCCCTTCAAACGTGACAGCTACACGGTATTGTTAACCCATGTTAACCAGTGGAGAAATAACCGGAAATACCAAGCAAATGCTACCCCGACGTAATGATTTATTTTTTCATAGTCACACTCGATTACAGCGATTTTCTTGTTGCCCCAGCTGGTTGACACTTCTTTTAGCATAAACAAAGGCTACATTAATGTATTAAATCGATGTTAATCCATGCGTGTGGATGTGGAATTAACGGACGTGACGTTGTGCGATTGAGTTGCCAAGCAACAGCTTCGGTTCATGTTCATTTACAAACTATTCAACTACAACTGTAGTTATATTTAAAAACATGTTAGAAGGCCTCACGAAATACTTTAATGCACATTAAAATGTAAATGTGAAGGAATGTGTGTATAACAAAATACATCGGTCATTAAACGAAACCGGAAACAGAGTAGGCAAGATCCTCAGCTCGATGATTGGATGGTTATCCGCAATGCATGCTGGGATTTGGTGTTTATGTGATGTGAAATCTGAAAACGTTTTTAAAAATACAATAATACTTTATTCCGAGTGTGCTTGCTTTTCTCTTTGAAAGTCATCACATAACGGCATTGTAATACACGGTTCGGCTGCATTAAATATTACATATCTGCCGTAATTCTCTATTTATAGAGCCCTGCTGAGAAGACTTCTAGACAAACAGGAGAACTGCCGCCAAAACTGAAAACGTGACGTGGATCATAAATATATAAGCAATTAAACAGTATCTTACATTTATTTTCACACAATACGTCTCCTTGCAGTATCAACACTAATTCGGCTGACTTTTATATTTGATCCAATTGGTAGATAGGCTGTATTTACACCATAACCGTGCAGAGCTGATAGAAAGGGACACCTGGTGGTCAAAGCACGTTATTGAATTGTATTATTTTATTATTAGATATTAATAGGAGGATGTGCAAAACAGACAAACTAATAAGGCTTAATTTAAACATTAAAGAGTACTTTAGGTTAAGGTCTTATTTTGAATAAGAAAAAAGCTTTAAGAAGAATATGGAGGGATGAAACCCTCTTGAAACCGCAGGTCCTTCCTTCCTGCAGCGGTCAGACTTTACAACCAGCACTGCCCCTAGTAGACCCTCCTACACACACCACAACACAGACTATAACACCCCTTGCTGCTAAATACAAACCAACTTTGTGCAATATGTGCTATATGTGCAATATATATATGCCATTAATAACTGTGTAATTTATACCTGGCCACTAAATCAATATATATGCCGTTTTGTTTTTGATCTGTATTTTTGAAAATTATGTAACTTTTTATCTTTTTTTTAGCATATTGTTTATTATATTATAACTTAGTACTTTTTTAGCATATTGTTTATTTTATTCTAACTTAGTACTTTTTTAACGCATGTAAGATATGCAACACTAAGCTGTCTGTGGCTCTTTCCTGCTGTAACGCTGCACATATCCCCTCTGTGGAACTAATAAAGGTATTCTGATTCTGATTCTTTAATGGTCACACATGCAGAGCACACAGCACACACAGTGACATTTGTATCTACAGATAAATATTAAGCCTGACAAAGTACTTAACGTCTAATATATTGCTTTCCTGCAATGTTAACTATGTTTAAGCACTTATTTGTTTATTATTTGTTTATTATTAAACTGATATTATACATATGTATTATACTCTTATAAGATGTATGTAGATAGTATAAGAAATGTGCAGAATGACAGTTTAATGGTGGAGTATACACACATATTGATAGATGTCTTGTAATGTACTGTTGAGGAACCTGCGACCCAAGTTTTTCATTCATTGCATAACTACACAGTAGTTGTGTATAATATGATATGTCAATAAACCTTAGCTTATAAAATCTTGAAATCTTGAAAGGGATGTTCAAACTAGTCATTATATACAGTCTTTAATGAACTATTAGTAGAG